GGGTGGGCCCAGCCCCCGCACCCTCGGCGGCGGGCGGCCGAGCCAGGGCGCGGCAGGGCCTGGAAGCAGATGGGCAAACTTTTACAAACGCTGTCTGCGTCCCGGAACAAAATAAGCTCAAACGGCGCATAGCAAAGCCTTGTAGAAAGGAGGGCCGAGGCGGTGTTGCGCGGCAGGCGTAAACACAGAACTCCGTCCTTTTGCCGTCAGACTCCTCTGTATTTAGTCCTCGGGACAACATTTGCATAAAATGCTGAGGCAACGGGACCGACGCCGACAAAGACTCGCACAGCCCGGACGTTTGTTGAACATGACATGCGCTTAAGGCCTCTAACACTAAGCAGCATTGTTTGTTGTCACAGCAGAAGTATACCAGTTCTGTTACAGAGACACTGGAGGAAAGCACAAAACCAGCTAAAGTACGTGGTACGCACCGCCTTAGGACAGTATTCAGTGCAACCGATACGAAAGTAAAACACATGAGAAAACAGACTGGCTGGTCCGCCCGTCTGCTCCATCTCTCAACAACCACCCAACAAAATCACAGCCATCCACCCAGCCACCTGGATAAAACTAAATTACGGATTACATCATTTATAAGCTGCGTTGATTTCTAGCAGGGTAGGCATTAAAAAGAGGCATTTTAGTCCTTGCTATGGCTTACTACTGTGGATTCACGGGTGACAGTGAGAAACCTGAATGGAAACATTTATAACATATACTGTATTAAATGAAGTAAATCACAGTTATTTTTCTCATCGTTAGAGTGGAGAGTACCATGGTGAGGCATCTACTTTTCATTAAGGAAGATGCTTCCTTCTCGTTTTCAGCAGAAGAGGTCACTCTGTAAAATGCACCATGAGATCTGTGTGTGTTGTGTCCCAGCCGTTTCCTCAGCTCGCGTCTAAAACTCTCCTCCCCCACCTGACTGCCAGTAACCCAGCCTGCCCTGGGATTTGAAAGCGAAGCTGTGTTTTTTTCTGGTTTGTGCGTCACTGTTAATAATAAAACTTAGCATCTGGAATTTAGCAATTCTTTGAATGACGTCCAAGCTAGGAGCTAATCCAAAGCAGTCTCCTATAGGTAGCTGGTGCTGGCTCCCGTGTGCTGAGGAGATAAGAAGCGGTACAGCATGTTTTGGTAAGCAGTTTGTCATCCAGGACGCCCACTGAGCAGCAGATCAAGACACTGCCATCTTCACCCAGCCATCTCTCTTACAAAACTGTGCACACTTTAAAGTTGCATTAGTGCATCACCTATATATATATATATATATATGGTGATATAGGTGGTGCACTATAAAAATATTTGCCTCTTCAACCCTGCTTTTGCCAAGAGGTGCCGAGAGTCTCTCCCTCTCAGCGATGCAGTGGAAGCAGAGGATGCTCAACACCTGTGAGCCCGGGAGAAGGATGGCTTGTGCTGTCTAGCTTGAGAGGTTTAACGTGCCCGAGTTCCCGCCGCAGATTGGTGTGCACAGCTCCCGTCCAATCTGAGCGTTCGGCGAACACCGGGCAGCACAGCCTGGAGGCCCCACGGGTTTCAGCAGGCTGAAACCTGCTGTCAGGTATATGGTTAATTTTCCATGCAACAGTAAAAACTGCGTGCTGCACTACAGCAGTGAGGCAGTCGTTTTTATGGCAGTGTTTTAAACAGCTGTTTCAGAGCTGTTGAAGAGAGATGCGAGTCCGTCCTTTGGAGATGGATAGGAGGGTATCGTTCTGTCTCCTCAGTAAGGCTGTTTGTTTTATGATGCGTGTGTCCAAATTACAAGCACTCAGGAGCCAAACTGGTAATTAGCACATTTTACAGGCTCTCAGGATGATCTAGAACATTTTTCTCTGCACAATAATGCCATGATTATAAACTCTAGTTCTTATAAGCTGAAAAAGGCAGTATATGATTCCCAAAGCGCAGGGTAACTTTGGGCGTTGCTTATGATTTCATGGTTTGTTTCACAGCTGTTTTGCAGTTTGCCCGTAAGCAGCTAATGGCTCAATTCACATTTCAGTGTAGTTCCATGATGCTGCAGCATAGTCCATAACTCAGCTGTGACTTCGGCTGATCCCCCACGGGGATCTCCACCTCCGTATAAATGTTACGTGTATATCTCTCTAATGCTTGCAGCCATGACCATTGCATACATAAAACGGTACCTTTTTAAATACAATCTCAACATGCCAAAAATAGATTCTTTCATCAAGTTTCTGCCCTGCAATATCCATCTTTTGTTTACAATGTACATATATATTTATATTTATATATATAGGAACATGAAAATAACATATATAAATATTTACTTTAAATCCCTATATCTGAGTACATACGACAGCATCAGTGGAGCAGTTGCTAGGTACCGGAAGGTCCACGCATTCCAGATGCGGTTTCTCATTTTTTTTTTTTTAAGCTGCAGAGATGAATTACTCAGTACATTGAAGCAGGAGAGCATGGGCTATTTATACCATCTGCAGACCACTCACCCCCTGCCCAGCTATATCTGTGCACAGCACGTGCATTCCTTCTCACGGTATGTACTCTATTTAGTTTTACAGAGCAAATATTTTTGTAGCACAAGGGCAATATCTTACAGAGTGGAATGAAACCAACAGACAAAAGTAAACTCAACTAAAGTCTGCAGTGCCAAAACCAAAAAAAAGTCTAATTGCTCCATGGTGCTCATCATTGCTCTGCAAGTTAGAAACAATGGTCCCAGGCTTGTGAAAATCAAGCTTTAGATTGGTACTTTTTGTCAGTGTTTTCACGGTCAGTACCAAGGTGTAAGAGCCTTGGATTCAGCTACTATATAGCCCTCCTCTCAAAAATGCTACAAAAATAAATCTTGGGCACAATCTCAAAAGAGGCTTCGCTTCTCTGTCTCATACAGTACGACAGCCCGCTTACCCAACGAGGCTGCTGATCACAGTACATGGCTGCCAGATCAAGGTTTTATGGACCACATATTTGCCCACACACCCCTACCCTGAGAATTTTGTAAAAATTCTCTGTTCCTGTGGTCTTGCCCTGAACTGAAATAGATTTCTCAAACGGAAATTTGCCAGTCTATAGCAACCGGCTCTTAGCTATTTTCTGCTTTCGGATAATAAAGTGCTCTTGTTTTAGTTAGTTACCAGGGAACTCAAAGGAGAAGGTACGCTTTCTTTTCCTCCTCCCACTACTGCACTTCCCCGAGAGTTAAACATGAGATTCGTCGAGATCGACGTCAGTCTCCCCAAGCTCCACGTGCGTGAAGCTGAAGTGAGTGGCCAGCAAGGGGTTCTCCATCCCGTTGTCCTCACTGATGTGAAGGACAGTGTCGCCGTGCTGCAGCAAGCTGGTGGTCTCGAGGCCAGCGTAATCCTCGGTGTCAGAGGAGAGCTGTGTGGGTGGGGTGCTTTGTGCTGTTGTTGGCCGGGACTCCAAGCCCTCCTCTTTTTCCTTCTCCTTCTCACCAGAAAGTGCCTCGCTCTGCAATTGAGGGGAGCCACTGGTCAGGCTCAGAGAAAGCGGGAGGGAGAGGGGCAAAAAAGCAAGGGAACATCCATAAAATATTTTCTCATTCGGAAATACTTTTTACCGTAAAGGACGAGGCACTTGCAGACCATAAATCCCTAAAATTTTGCCCTAACAATGATATATTTTTGCTGGAGAATCCAATTTGTAGCAATGATCAGAAAGGTTATCTGATTTCAGTCATTAACGCTTCCCCACTTCATTTTTTTCAGCGTATTCTCAAGACAGGCATCCTTCATTTGTTCATGGCAAAGGACATAACCACCAAAAGACGCTAGTTATCTGGGCATATACAAGTGATCTCAGTGTCACTGATGTGTTGAAGGGATGGCTGTGAGTGTCCCTGCACTGTCCTCAGTGGTGTCCAACACAGAAAAAAATGTTGGACAAGCAATTTCTTTTGAAACGTGCTGCTTTTGCTAAAACAGTCCTGAGGTTTTTGAAGGCGTCCTTCCTT